CGAAACAATGTTGGTTCAGGTAAAGTGAATTTGCAACACATGTCACCTAAATACCAACATTGTTTAAGGGGGGAGGGGGACAAAGTTTGAAAATTTAAGAAGTCTACTAATTTTTTTCCAGGATTGTAGTCGGGCAAAATCCCGAAAAGTCGGGCAAATTTGTTTCCGCTCCCCTAATTTTTTCCTTCCGGTACGCCCATGTATATATATATATATATACATATATATATATATATATATATATATATATATATATATATATATATATATATATATATATATATATATATATATATATATATATATATATATATATATATATATATATATATATATATATATATATATATATATATATATGTTATATATATATATATATATATATATATATATATATATATATATATATATATATATATATATATATATATATATATATATATATATATATATATATATATATAGTATTTATCAAGAAGTACTTTGATAGTCAATCAAAATGATGATGTAAAGGCTTTTTTACAAAAGAATTATTTATAGATTTCGTCTGAGAATTATCAAGATATTACAATAATACGTGCAATTTTAATAATTGAAGAGTAAATAAAAATACCTACATTGTTTCTGTTCGCTTTTTTGTGAGTTATACAAAATACATCAGCTGGAAACATGGTATTTTTTTAATTTTATTGCAAGGATGGTTGGTTGTCTCCAGCGTCTTTGGCAGAAATGACTGGCTTCGTCGACACATACAAAGTCAATTTATCTGATCCTTACTATGGATTCCAGTCATGGAATGATTTCTTTACCAGGAAATTGAAAAATGACCAAGTTCGTCCCGTCGCTGAGCCTAATAATTCATTTGTGATCTGTTCTCCATGTGATGCCACTCCATATGTGATCGGGAGAAACCCAAAGTTACGAAATCAATTTTGGATAAAGTCACAGCCGTACAGCTTGCAACATCTACTTGATGATGAATTGTTGGCCAAGAAATACGTGGGAGGCACTGTCTACCAAGCTTATCTCCTTCCTAACAACTACCATCGCTGGCATGCACCGGTTGATGGTACAATAACGAAGGCATACATTAAGGAAGGCGCGTACTATGCGCAAGCTCTGTCGGTGGGTTATGATCCAACAGGTACACATTCAGTAGGTTATTTCAGTCACGTGGATACCCGAGCCATAATCCACATTGATACAGGGAACCCAAATATTGGTACCGTGATCTTCGTCGCAGTTGGAATAGCTGAAGTCTCAAGCTGTCATATTGAGGTATATTATGGGGATAAAGTGAAGAAAGGTCATCTTCTAGGCACCTTCCGATTTGGTGGATCCGCGTACTGCCTCCTGTTTGAAAAGGGTGTAGATATTACATTTGACGCTGAGCTACCAGATGGGAAATTGAAAACTGGTCTGCAATTTGTCAACAGTGCTATCGGTACAGTCGTAATTACACCACACGGGCACTAATTACTTGTGAAACGGTAGAAATTAACCACCATTATCTTTTTGTTAACTTTGGTGAAATATAGTTGAACAGAAATTTTGGTATGTGATCATTTGATAGTGAATTCTCGGTGAAAAACTGTCAAACAAAACCGGTTTAGACATTATGGTGTATTAGAAACTGTAGTTGTGGGATTTATTTTTTAGCCTTACGCACTGAGAAAATACTGAAATATTAACGAACAGTAATTACTATTCTGATGGGAATATACTGTATCACCATATAGCGGTTAATATTTTTTATTCGATTATAAACCTCGTTGTTTTGTGTTCTTTTGCCCGCGTCTAGGACTCACCAATAATCATAATTTGTCCCTTATATCATCGTATAACTTGCCTCTTTTTATCATATTAAATTAGGGTAGCAAAGGCGTCAATCCTGGGGGGAATGGGGGGGAGGACGAATATCTAGTTATCCCCCCCCCCCACTTTTTAACATGTTTAATGAAGTTTTGTTGCTTGGTAATCTAAAAACCTAATGCCTGGTATGCTATTCATCCAGAATTGTGGTTGGAACGAAGTCTGTAACCGCTGGAAGAAAATACTGACATGGCATATGTTACGTAAATGCTAAAAAACATTAAAATTTGTGTTATAATTTATTAATTTTATAAACATTTACATAATGGCGCTATTGGTCACTTTCACTTCCTATTCTATCTGGCAAGCTGGATTGAATGACACCATAATTCATTTCGCTAATCAACATAATCGTAAGTTACTAATTTAAAGACTAAATTAAGATTTAAGATTAGATAAGTCTATATTACCATGTTCAAAAGTTCAAATATAGTAAAATATTAACCCTAAGCATTCCATTTTTGTAGTTTTTCGCCTGACGCCAATTAAAAGTTGTAGATTTTGCCGTGATTGCAATTTAACCAAATGATGTAGAGATAGACTTACAATCATAATTATCATTCCCAAATGGCAAATACTGACAATTTATACAACGAACATGCCTCGAAAAAATACCCCGAAACCTTCTAAACGTGCCAAACTATCAGGAATCGGACATTTTTTAAGGATCCACAGCAAGTTGAGCAAACCAGTACCCTAAAAAGTCACGCATCGTCTGATTCTGGTAACAATCTACCTTCAACGCCATCGACGCCAATTGTAAATCAGCGGCTAAGTGACGCAATTCATGTTGACAATCCTCCAACTTCTTTGGCAGAGTTCGCAGAAAATGACGAAGTGGAAATCCAAGGGATGTCTTGTGCGGCTATATCTCGACCCTCGCTGCCCAATGAACAACTACCTTCCTCCGTAGTATCCGGCTCTAACAATTTGCTCACAAGTAACAGATGCTCACCTGCAACAGTTTCGGCTTCGAGTCCATTGACTGCAAAGTCGAACAATTTCCTGAAATTGAACCAGCCTAATCATCCAGAAGTGTCTGTTATCCCTGCTCAGAAATTATCAACGCGAAAACTTTATTTTCAATCAAAGTGATATAAAGATTACGAATGGATTCATTATGACCGTGATTTGAAAAAAAATCTGTGCTTCCACTGTTCAAAAGCTAGTGTCATGGGCCGGATAATAGATTTAGTCCATAATAAAGATCCAGCATTTATTTCAGAAGGATTCAACAACTGGAAGAAAGCAATGGAAAAGTTTAAGTTGCATCAGACATCTCATACACACGTTTTGTCCGTCAATCAAATTGCAGCGGTGAAAAGGCCATCGGTAAGTGCGCAAATACAAACGCAGAAACAAAAGAAACAAGCAATAGCAAGAAACTCCCTTTTGAAATTGTTTACTTCAGTAAGATATTTACTGCGACAAGGCTCAGCATTTCGTGGCCACGATGAATGTGATGGAAGTTATTTACAGCTCCTAAAGCTTAGAATGGAAGATGTTCCTGATCTGCAGATATATTTGAAAAATACAACAAATTTTACTTCGCCTTGTGCACAGAACGAGATGATAGAAATGTTCAGTCACCAAATTTTACGGAAGGTTGTCAGTGACATTCAACAGAATGAATTTTACGTTGTTACTGCTGATGGAACACAGGACATAAGCGATCAAGAGCAAGAGTCTTTTTGTTTGAGGCACGTTGACTCAGACCTATATGTACACGAAGATTTTATCGGTCTGTATATAAAGTTCCCAGTACTAACGGTGACGTCCTTGCTGGTACGCTCTTTGATGTCCTGGCTCCGAGTGGATTATCCATAAGCAATATGCGTGCTCAAACATATGATGGTGCCGCTAACATGAGTGGTTGTTACTCTGGAAGTATGGCAAGGTTGCAAGAACGGCAACCACTAGCACTCTTTTTCCACTGCGGATCACATGCTTCCAATCTTGTAATGCAACATGCTGTAACATCTTGTCAATTAATTCGAGATTCCCTGCAGTGGTTGAATGAGCTAGGTGTGTTTATGAAAAGGTCTGGCAAGTACAAAGCGATATTCCTGACAATTTGTGAATCAACCGAAAATGAAAATCTGCATGCCACAGCGATCAAGCCCCTTTGTGCCACCAGGTGGTTATGCAGACTAGCAGCCATACAGTCAGCATTCGATCAGTGCCCTGCTATTCTCCAAAGTTTGGAAGAAATGGCACGTGGCGAAACGGACACTGCAGCCAAAGCAAACGGTCTACTTGATCGGTTTCAGAAGGGAAAAGTCTTTCTCGGACTGAAGATGGCAGCTAAGCCAGAGGCGATCCTGGAACAGTTGAATAGCGCACTTCAAGCAAAGTCAGCAAATGTCTCTGGAATGGTAGAAGCTGTTAAGACATCATGCGTCAGCGCACAGATGAAGCATTCCATGAATTATTCTCTGCTGCCGAAGAAAAATGTGAAGAATACCAACTGGATCCATTGGAAGTGCCTCGGATACCAGTCCCCCCAAGCCGATACACTGGTGAAGCAGCTAAGTATCGGCCTAACAGCTGTGAAGAATACTACAGGGAGCAGTATTTCGAGTTCATCGATGTCATAGTAACAGGTCTGTCAGACAGGTATGACCCTGACAAATCTGGCCTAGCACAGTACTTGAAGCTCGTGACGATGTTAACATCTGGGAAAGTTGACAAAGATGTGGTGTCAAAGTATCTTGAACTTGATAGTCTTACTTTGCCAATTCAGCTGGAAATGTTCAAGCAAACATACAAGGCCGTATCGTTGCATGAGACAAAAGTCACTTATCGGAGTATGGAACATGTAGTGCGCTTATTATTTCCCCAAGTGCAGGTTCTACTGAAACTTCTACTGGTGTGTCCAGTTTCGTCATGCGAATGTGAACGCAGCTTTTCTGCATTGCGACGACTGAAAACATGGCTCCAAACCACCATGACCCAGCGTAGACTTAAACATATTTCCATCTGCCATGTACATCAGGAACAGTTAGACAACGTCAATGTACATGAACGAGCAAAATTGTTTGTTCAAAAATCCGAAATTAGAAGAAATCTATTCGGAACCTTCGAATAGTTCAACCTTGTTCCCAGTGTCTCACCTCTGCTCACCTCCTACTCCGGAGAGACCCTGGTATGGTGTAGTCACGTGAGTCATGACCACGTGCTATACTCAGTAGGGGTAGCAAGGGTAGACTGTCAAACTGTACTAAAGCCAGGGAAGTGAAAGAGTAGAGAAAGCATCACAGCAGGAATCTATCTCGTCAATGATTTTGAAAGTTCCTTTTTAGCAGTATGTCAAACCCGGTTGTGCTATAAAGCTATTGACCCTATATATTGTTGTCATTATAAATTTTGCAATGGCAATAATTGTTACTAACCTTATTGGTGAGTGAAGAAGAATCGTTATACACTTTATAGTTGGCCCTCTACTGTTTTTTGTGTATATTAAATAATGACCTGACCCAGAACGTGTGTTTGCTTTCTGTCGCGAATTGTCTATTATTGCTCCTTTTAGTTAAAACCGATATCGGTTTTATCTTTTACAATAATTCAACAAAGACTAAGTACGACTTCTCTTACGCTATATATATGCAACTATTAGGCCGTCACATAAAGCTAAAAATATGCCTAGAAAGTGACTTTCGTTGCACACATCTGGAGGCTAATGATTTCTTTCATAAAGTAGTAGAGGAGCATGCCAAATCAAATAATAATAAAGCCCCCGGTCATAAGTGTGCACAACAACGAGAAATCGACTATATTCTGGTGATGACGTCATCTATAGTTCCGAAAGGTAAAAATGTTCGAAGTTCGAAAAATGTGTAATGCCATCAGATTGAGGTGCATAATTGGACAAAAAAACTATATTACACTGAAAACTTTCAGTCGTTCGTTACCGAGATATCACGTTCCAAAGTTTTTAAAAATGCTGAGTCAGCATTTTTGTTTCTCCAGTAAAGCTTTTATTGACAGACTGTATGCAGGGAAAGGGCTTATTTTGCACTAATACCTTAAATTGTGCACCACAGTGTGTGAATTAAAGTGGTTATGCAAGTCAGAAAACTAAAATGCGATTAAAAAATTCAAATTGTTTACCCGTCATCTAAAGCCTTTGAAAGAAACCTAGAAGATGAAATCTGTTGCACATGTCGCCGGACTAACTAATTTCACCATGATCAGACAGTTCTTTTGGAGTAGTTCTGATATCCAGATGATCTTGATACGCGGAAAAGTACTGGTACTAGTTGTCAAATAGAAATCCATTTTGTGATTAAAACAACTGAATATCTCCTGTAATATATACTTTATTTCGATTCCATATTTTTGTCAGAGCTATAGTTCTCATATGCAAACATAACTACAAAATTTCAGCTAGTTTCATAAAACATAACGAAAGATATAATTAACTGAATACATCAAAATGGATTTCTATTCGGACAACCCTTTCTGAGCGCTGATTGGCTAAAATACGAACACGAGATCACCTGGATTACATAGCCAAATTTTACCAATGCACGCTGCACACAACTGACAAGCAAGCCGTGACTTATTATTACTCAACAGGCACATTACTCAACAGGCAATATCAATGAACATCGAAAATCTTTAATGAATAAAACAAAATATCCAAATATCAGTCTGGTTAAAATTCAGAAATAAAACTGTTTTCGGCCGGTTCACGGTTACTGTTATAGTGTTCCAGTATTTCTTGTATACATGCACGTTTTCAAAATGGCTTCCTGTGCGAGTTTATTGCTTTATTAGGCCTACAAAGTTATTTTTCCCGATTTCTGCTTAGAATACAAACACAATGATGGATTGACTTTTTCACCAGACTTAAAAAATAGTTTCTGTTATCATTAATTTGTTCAGGAAACGGTTGAGAAAATTGATAAAATGGAATGTAAAACTATTGCTTGAACGTCTCGAAATAATGTTTTAATACACTTTTCACTTTAGTCTTTTACAAGTTTCGAAAACACAACACAGAGTCAGGACACCATACAGTGCATCAAAAACATGACATATCAAAATATATACTGTAGTATCGTACAAATAGGATATAATGAGTATCTCTTCAAGAAAACAACGATTATTTAAAAGAACTGTTCGTAATTATAAAAATGCGAATGTTAATGCCCTCAATGCGGCACTATTAAATGCTAATTGGGGAGATGTTTTTCTAATCCGTCAGATTCTATCGATGTTGTTTACAATAAATGGTTTAATTTATTTAAATCAATTCTTGATGCCTATATTCCCTCTAGGGAAATTACTGTTCGGCCCAAAGACAAGCCCTGGATGAATGGCTCAATTCGCCAAGCTATTCGAAGACGTGATCGTCTTCTTAAACGTTTTTCAAACATTAAAAGTGTATTGTCTTGGGAACGTTACCGTATTCTACGAAATCTCGTTGTTAGATTAATTAGGAAAGCCAAAATGGAACACCAACGTAAAATAAATACTGTACTAGCGGATCCATCGACATCAACCAAAAAGTGGTGGGGCATTTCAAAATCTTTGTACGGTAACAAGTGCTGTTCTTCGTTACCTGATTTAATTGACAACAACATCGTCATTTCAGATTCGCAACACAAGGCTCAGGTTTTTAATGATTAAAAATAACTAAATAACAGGCTAAATAACGATCTTGATTCTATATCAATGTGGGCTGATCGATGGCTTGTGACCATGAATGCTAATAAGACAAAAAACATGATATTTTCTTCCAAGTTAAACAAGCCCTTGCATCCTACGCTTACTTTGGCCCACGAACCAATTGATATAGTTGATCAGCATGATCACATGGGCGTTACCCTTACTAATAAATTATCGTGACGGCCTCATATTCTTAAAATCCATCAAAAGGCTTCAAAAAAATTTAACTTACTTATAAACCAATGAAATTTAAGCTAGGAAAAAAACCCCTTGAAATTCTATATAAATCCGTTGTCCGTTCTTGCTTGGAATATGCGGATGTTGTGTGGGATGGGTGTTGTGATGCTGATCGTGACCTTCTTGAAAGCTTGCAATTTGAGGCAGCCAGGCTCGTAACGGGGGCATTGAAAGGTACTCATAGGGAAAGCCTTCTTAATGAAACAGGTTGGTCTACTCTAAAAGCCAGACGTAATGCTCATAAGTTATTTATGATGTACAAAATTGTAAATAATCTGTCCCCTCCGTATCTGTCAGAATTGCGTCCTGATGTTAGTTCTAAATCAAATCGTAGTTTACGTGCCAATGATAATCTGATTGTCCCTTTCGCTAGAACCGAACGTTACAAAAAGTCATTTTATATTTCCTCTGTGAATCTTTGGAATAGTCTTTCAGCGACTATTCGTTCTAGTCGTTCAATTGCGATTTTTAAAAACAGTGTGACTCGGCTACACAAGTTCGTAGCTCCCAATTAATTGTGTGTTTGTCCAAAATTTGTGCTTGCTCTATCAGCTGTTTTTGGGGTTTTTTTTTGTAAATATGTAATGTCAAGAGCGCCCCAGATAAGTCTTTAGTGGCTTTTGGCGCAATTGCCAATTTTTGAATTTAAATAAAATATTGTTTATATGAAATAGGATATAATACAAAATGGTTTTAACAGAATATCAAAGCATGCTTTTTACAGTCGGGATTCATAGTTTTTGCTATTTCTTTGAAGTGAATGTTTCGAAGTTTTAATTAAATTAAATAAGTTTTAACTTGTCCGAGAATATGTTTGACACAATATATAAAATACTAAAGGAATCCTACCTTTCATGTTAAATGCAACATTTTGTGATTTTTTCGTTTTCTGGGGACGAATTTTTGTGGGCATGCGCGGCTACCCACTATGAGAGAGACCGTAAGCGCGAACCTCTGTGGCTCTGTGGGTTTTGTGTCCGCGGTGTCCTGCTGCGAGGTTCCTTTTATCGTTGAAACACGAACCGTTTATACACCACAGGCTAAGTGCAGAACCCGGCATGTTCACACTGGAGAGAGATGTGTATAAATTCTTAGTAATTAATACAGTCTTTATTTTAACATGTTTTATCGGGTTGAAAGTAATTTCCAACGCATATAGAATCGTATATATGTCGTTGTTTATATAATCGCAGCTTGTACAAGGGTCATTGAGGTTAATATTAGCGCACGGGGCTGTTTATTATCGTGTAATGTCATATTAAACAGTTTGCCCAAACATTGTATTAGAAAAGTAGTAATTTAAATATATAATGATATATAGCGCGCGACGATTGGACGTATTTTACGATACCAAGTTAAGTAGTGCACGTTCGATGAGAAAATGAAAACCACGTTAGTTGATATCGAAGAAATGCCATATTTAAAAGCACGAAACAATTGCAGTATATATAGAATCGTATCTGTCCAGAAATAACCTAACCTAACGGTTGCGGTTAGGTCGCGGTTAGGTTGACGTTAGGTTGAGGTTCGGTTGAGGTTAGGTCGGGGTTAGGTTGAGGTTAGGTTGAGGTTAGATTGAGGTTCGGTCGAGTTTGACCGATTGAAACCGCAAGCAAAACCGCAAATTATAATTTTTTACTAATGCCGTAATGGCAAATTGGCAATACCTTGACTGTGCAGAAGTGGCGGGTACATGAGTTTTACTGTAACTACATAGGTTTTCAAAAGATGTGAGCGGATCTCGGATTGTTAACTCTTCGAAAATGCTGTTTTTAAACTAAAATAAGCCTGTAATTAAACCTTTCAATAAACCGGAACGTGAAAGGCGCCGAACGAAGACCAAACGGCAGTGTCAAATCAACGAAATACTGATCACGCCATGTCATACCCAATAAAAATTGTTCGTCGGGATGAATGAGAATGTTGCGATAAGCGGCCTCTACATCAAATTTTGCCATTAGCGCTCCCGGACCGAGGCGAACGAGTGCTGCGATCGCATCATCAACCCGAATGTACCGGAGAGAGTAAAGTTACGACGGGATGCCATCATTCACACTGTGAGAATCCGGGGAAGACAGATCAAGAATAAGATGCCATTTTCCAGGTTGATTCTTCTTTGGGATGACTCCAAAGGGACTGCAATGCAAATTGGGAACTGGCGGATCGGTGAAAGGCCCAATAACACGACCTTTCGATAGTTCCGTTCCAATGTAAGCATCAACGACGTCTGGATGATCGCTGGCGGAACGCATATTACGAGACGAAGACCGAAGATGAACTAACTCGGGGCAAAAACCGGTACGAAAACCGTGCTGAATACCATCACAAACATAGTTGACGCGTCCCTTGTCGGGATGATCCTCAAGTTCCCGCCGGAAAACAGAAACACACAACGGCGTAACAACAGACACAAAACGAACTGGAGGCTCTAAACAAGAAAACAAAAGAGACTTGGATCAACCGACCGAACATGAACCCACAACTCGAAAAGGAAAAAAAACCCAATAGGGCACTACAATTATAACCCCGTTAATTGGAACACAAGCTGACACAAGGCTACAACGCCTAACGAATCCATGCGAACACTGACGTAATGCACCTAAAATGCACATCCCTGCGAACCGACGACAAGCAACTAACGAATAAAATGCAGAAAAACAAAAACCATCCGTAATGCGGAGATATCAACAACGCTATGCACGGCGAAGAACGAGGATATGCCAACAGCGAATCATCGCGCGCGAAAAACCCGAAGTAATACGACTAGAACACGAAGAGATAAACATGCATCTATAGACATACATATTGATAATGCGAGTAGGGTGAATCCCTGCGAAGACCGAAGACCTGCGATATGAACAACTCAATGCGACACCAACGGAAGGTGAATAGCACATGAAAGGCGAATCAGGCCGAACAACGAAGCCATGCCAATAACGAATCACTGCCAAACCAACGGAATGCGAATATAACATGACTGCGACATGACTGCGATAAATAAAAAAATAAAAAAAAATGCGACAACCAACGAAATGCGAATATAACATGACTGCGACATGACTGCGATAAATAAAAAAATAAAAAAAAATGCGACAACCAACGAGATGCGAATATAACATGACTGCGACTCCTTGCGAAAACCGAATAGATGCGAATAACGAATCAATGCGAAAACCAACGGAATGCGACGAGCACATGACTGCGAATCATTGCGAAAAACGAATAGATGCGACTAACGAATCAATGCGAAACCAACGGAATGCGACTATAACATGACTGCGAATCATTGCGAAAAACGAATAGATGCGAATAACGAATCAATGCGAAAAACCAACGGAATGCGAATATAACATGACTGCAAATCATTGCGAAAAATGATTAGATGCGAATAACGAATCACTGCGAAACCAACGGAATGCTAATATAACATGACTGCGAATCATTGCGAAAAAAAACCCCCGAAGAGATGCAAATGACGAATCACTGCAAAACCAATGGAATGCGAATATAACATGACTGCGACTCATTGCGAAAACGAATAGATGCGAATAACGAATCAATGCGAAGACCAACGGAATGCGCATATACATTAAAGCGAATAATGGCGAAAAAAACCCAAAAACAAAAAAAAACGAGAACAGACTAAAACCAAAGCAATGGGGAAACCCACGGAATGATAATATAAGACCAATGCGAATCCAAAACCGGAGAAGATATGCGAATCACGAATCAATGCGAACCAGTGGCGGCGCCAGGAACTTTAATTTTTGCCCCCCCCCCATTTTGCCCCCCCTCAAAAAAATTATTAGTCACTAAGAGCGACTAAAGGCTACACAAGCGTTCTGTCGTTATCGGAAAATGTATGGCTTATAAGTTGTCATTACTCATTAGTGAATGCGCGTATACATGAAACTGTTTTTTACAGGTTCAATATTAGTTTGTAAATCTCTGAATGGTAAAACTTGCCAATACTCCAATAATACGTTTCAAAAAAAGACAAAAAAGCTTTAGTTTTGCAGAGTTAAATTCTCAAACGTGTAAGGCAATAATAAGATGAAAGTATCACGAAATTATTTGAATAAACCACATCGCATATATCGGGGTGCGAATGTCCTAAAGAGGGGCGATATTCCTACGGTATTCGTCCCACCCCCTGGGAGGCAATATTCCTAGGATATTCGCCCCCGGCGGCAATATTTCTAGAAATATCGCCACGTTTTGAGGGGGGGGGGGAGAATTTCCTGGGGGGGGCGACCTTTTTAAAAATTCTATCTATCCTAAATAGTATCCTAAATCCTTATTTTGAGTGATTGGAATTAGTGGCGGCAAGTAAACATGGCGTCGTTTAGTGAAATGTGTGCGAGGTAAGCTTATTGATAATTTCTTCCAAATTTTGGGTTATTTTGTCGTAAAAAGCGATGACATAATATGAGGAAGTTAAGATAACAGTTTTAGAAATGCAAGTAAACGAAAATATGCTGTATTTATCAGTCCTAGACTGGTATTTCATGTCAATTTTAAAGCACGAACGTTTGTGCACATATGTGCACATGAGGAATTTATGGAATGAATTTGTAAGTTATAGCAGTGATGTTCGACCGCATTATCTGATTGCTAATGGAATTAAAGGCATAGCAATTTTATTCTTTCTAGCACTGTATTTCATAAGCAAGCTTTTGCCAAAGAAATTTCCATTCTCTGTTTTTTATAGTACATCATGCAACATTCTGAATGCAAGGTTGGGTCTCTTCATGCAGAATTGATAGTATAGACTTTTAATGAAGACTTCCATGTTTGTAGTTCAAGCCAGCCAAGTTCCAAAGGATGTATACGTGACAAATGAAACCACTGGCCTCTTCAGGTTGAGAAGCTTCGACGTTGCAAAAACACTGGTTGTTGCAGAACAACAAGTTTTTGTCCTTACAGTGCCGAGTGTACCTGTGCGTAACAGGGACAACATGCTTTTTGGATTACCATGGCATAACTTCTGAATAACTGTACCATTCTTAGCTTGTACATATTATATGATTTTCATGATACTTACATAATTAAAAAATTATGTTTTTCATTCCATAAATTCCTGATGTCAACATATGTGCACAAAAAATATATCCTAAACTAGCTTACTTATGGCTGAAAAAAATACAAATATTTGTTCATCAAGGTGAATTTATGCATATACACTAGTTTTCCCATTTATAATATTTTTAGTTTAGTCCCAGGCCTTAAAGGATTAAGGGACGACCAATCAAACAAACCCCGCGCCGCTGCGTCCTTGCGGAACGCAACGTCATACGTAAGCCAGACCTTGGAGGAGAATTTCTGCGCTGTTCGCAAGCCAAGCAATAAATATCGGAGAAGATCAGTGATGCGCTGCGGATGATAAGCTGTCACAATCAGCATATACACACCAAACGCTTCCAGCCACTCTACGACGGATACAAATTCTTTCTCTTTTTGGCGGGACGAACAACCAGCTGGTCTGCCAACAGAGAAAACGAAGGCGGCTCCCGCTCTGTTGGTTCCTCGACAAGGGCGGTTAAATCGACAAAATGGCCCGAAACCACTGCTGAAACCAGTTTTACCGATACAGGCGGAATTCCCGGGCCCACCAAAAACGGCGAAAACTCAATCGAAGGTGTAGGAAATTGGGCTGACTGGATGCCGGGCTGTACTATGTTATACCGTTCGTTAACAGGAAAAACCTCTCCGGGGGCTACTCTGCCAGGGTTAGAAGCCGGGGAGCGAATAATTCCGAAAAATAAGATGGCGTACCTGAAACCGTCGAACTCGTGTTGTGACCAATCGCTTGAACATATGCTGGCTGTACTGGCGGTGTGGACAGCGAGGAAGTAACTATTGTAGATCCCGACTGCCCAATCTGGCTGGCAACTGGATTGGCCATCGGGAAACGCGTAGCGAAGCCAGAAGAATCGACAGATACTGATGTAGGGCCAAGCTGCTGCTGAGTCGATGTAGCAGGGAACCGTAACGTAAAAGGACTCGACGGAGGTGCCAAAACATTCGGAGGCAATGCAGGTGGACTCGCCGCAGCTGACGATGATACCAAGAGAATTGTGCGAATGGCAGGCGACGGCCTCGAGCTCGAGGCAGCTGATAACAACGCCGAAGCGATTGAGGAACTACCAGTTGGATGCTACACTATCGAATTGCTGACTGGCATCACTGGAACACTCGTGACCATAGACGGATTTTCATATTTTTTACTGGGGTGGTGCCAGAAATTTTATGGGGGTGAGCCGTGAGCAGGTGACTGAAGCAACACAAAGTGTCACCAAATCCAAGTAAGGTCAGATCTATATTCTAGGGGTGAAGGACTAGAGCCGCGAGGGGGAGTCGAGAGAGCAGAAAACAAAGTATCCCTGGAAAAATTTGAAAAAAATCATAATTTCTATCTTCGAAAAAAAGTTTTTTGAAATTGTCATATCAATGGATTTGGCATGTCCGATTGTCTGTTGAGACTTGAGAGAGTTAAAGTTAAATGAACCTGTAAAAGTGTAAACCCAATAGGCCAATACACAATATGCTTTTACTTTTATAAAGTCATTGACATTGTGTCGTTTGAATCTGAGTACAATTTATGATGCAACTCCGATGTAAATAATATTTGGGGCGTAAAGATTAAATCTAGGCAAGTCTATTTCCTAAAAGAATTAAAAACTAAAAATAATGTTCGTAAAAATTCCAAACGTTCCTTGCAAGCAAGCTATTTGCATGACAAGGCACTGCAAACTCTATACAGGGGAGATAATAGAGCTTCAAAATTTTACGATTGGTCCAATAAGCCAGTGAATGCAAGCGAGGAGCAATTAGTTTCAGAGTGTTGCACTGTCTTTTTCTATTTGAGTGTACTCCTACGTTTATTTTGTATCATCAACACTCTGCACGTTGGAGTGGACTATTTAATTATTTTTTATGATGCTGAATATTGGGGGG